TCGCCATACAAAAGATCTAAATAAATAGCTTCGGGCAGCCATGTGATTCTTCTGAGATAGAAAATATGTACTTTCACATACAGAAAATTGGCCCCGTTTAGGCCACTCAAAACTCCCCGGTCACAAAGAAGAAAAGGCTAAGTATCTACCAGGGCTAAATATATCACCAAATGATGTAAGATGAAATGCCAAAAGAGGTCCAAGAAGCTGACATCTATCAAGACTATCTTAGAACAGACCAGAATGACAGAGGTTAAAACGTGCTGTACATAAAAGTGCAACCCATGTTCGTTTTCGAAATAATGCCATGCAGGCAAGAAAAATTCCAAACAATTTCCTGTAATAGTTATTGTTTATTTTACTCGTTAAATATTATGTGATTAACATCCGAAATGCTAGTATCTGTCCGAATCTCTATCCCAATGCGGAATTCCGTCTCGATTGGTCTTTGATTATGATATGTAAGAAATGCATAATCAGTAAACTTTTCTGTTTTTGGTTGCTTGGTTGGTTTTAAGCCCTTAATATTTTGGGCTCATCTCCAAAAACATGCTTCTGTTCTTTCAATAACAGTGGCCAGTATAGTCACTACAATTTAACGTTGGCAGATGAACGAACAGACACACATAGCTCGATCGACTTAGATCAGCTAGATAGAAAACTTTATAAAAAAAAACATAATGGGTGTATGACCAATATTTTACGGTACAGCAAACTTTTGGTCTAACCAAACTGATAATACAGGGTGAGATAAAAAAATACAACGAAGTCAAACGCATTAATTTTTAAATTGTTTTCTTTAATTTTATTGAATTAAAGCAAAAAAAAAAATTAAAATAGCATCAAATTTTAGAATATGTTAAGATTTCTTCGAATTGGTCACCTTTGGCACGAATTATGACCTTCAAACGGCAAATGAACGCCTCATCTCATTTTGTAACCATTCTTGGGTGGCGCGTGCTGAGTCCCGTTGAAATGTCCAATGAACTCACGGTCGATTAATACGAGCGGAGTGCGACCATCGGCTTTTATGGCGACCCACACTATCACCAGGGCCGGCGCTTGAGTTCTGGTGGCCAACCGAAGGAGCATAAATTCGGCTTACCTCTTTGGCTAGTAAACATGATTATTTTGTTTGTTTACAAACTGCTGGACAACGAATGTTTTCTCATCGGAGATAACCAAATTCGGCAGTTCACCACTTCTGGGCAAGAGAAGCAACTCTTTAGCTCTTTTGAGTCTATTTTCTTTCTGTTGCGGTGTAAGTTCTTGGCTTTAGCCCGAGCTCATTTTTCAATATTTGCCGAAAGGAATATCGCGATATGTTCAGCTCTCGAGCCATTTTTCGGCCACTGAGACGCGGGTTTCGATCAAGTCGCTTCTTTACTCATCGAACGATTTCTGCTGATGTTGCTGTTTTCTTCCGTCCATTTCCTTGGCGTTGGGCTACGCCACCAGGGTCACGGTAACGAGCGATGGTACGAGACACAAAAGATTTATTCACATTTAAATGCTGGAGAACTCTAACGATAGCCACTTGTGGTTTTCCAGCCAAGTATAAAGAAATCACACTATCACGTTTGAATTCCATCACGAATAACTTTTTTTCTGGAAAATGCTCACCAAAATGCTTTTGTATGCTTGTAAACAATATAATGAAGTGTCATTTGAATAATTTTAACAGTTGTCGGACGAGTGGCAGTTTTTTCATCTCACCCTGAAGGTAACATACAAAAATGTGTACCCATATGAATAGTACAGTGCAAGCATATTTCCAACTTACTAGGAACACAAATTACCATTTTATAGAAAATGCGGTTTGAAATTGTGATCAAAATACCCCAAACACCTTAAAGCTGTCGGAATAATTATATGGGAGCCATGCCAAAACGTGGAACTATATAACATATTTTAATAACAAAAATTCTGCGGAACTCAAATAAATCTGAGTAAACTTATTTAACCTATTTCCATTTTTTTCTATATCCCATGGCTCATGCCAGGCATACTGGATGATCGCCATTTTCCTTCTTTTTACCATTGTTTGCTGGGTTCTCCAAATCCTTTAAATGTTGTCCTTACATATTTATAAATAAACAATGTATGACATAGAAAAATTGCATTGTTTCTTCGTATTCAGAAGATTGAAATGAAAATAATGATTTCATATTTAAAAAAATAAAAAATCTCTTCAAATAATGTGACAATGACACGTTTCCATAATAAATACATTCATGCAGGGTATGAACTGAATTTTCTATTTTTGTAAGGAAAAAATAAGTAAACGTTCAAGTATTTACTTGCCAGATGTGACAAGGGAAATAAACTGAATAAAGATAAATCCAATCTAATCAAGGAATATGATTATGAAAAGTGGTTTCTTGTATTTGAGATCAGAGTTCGAAATTTATTTTTCACTTCATGAGGAGTGAGAAAGTGAGTGAGTCATTTATTATTATACCCTCCACCTTGAAAAGGATGCTATATTAATTTTGTTATTCCGTTTGTAACATCCCTAAATATTCGTCGTAGACCCCATAAAGTATATATTCAAAATGAGCGTACAATTCTAAGTCGACGTCCGGCTGTCTGTCTGTTGAAATCACGATACGCCCCACATTGTTTGACGTAGAGCCTAAAACTTTGGCAGATCAATTTGTGTTGTGTCAATGATGGTTGGTATTGGAAATGAGATATATCGATCCATGTTTTGGAATAACCGCCAAACTTGCCATAATTTGACATTTTAAAGATTTTTGGCAAATTTTTCCATAGATTCGTCTAAAAATTGGTAGTTGTTGGTCATAATGGATTCTAGCTCTAGTGGCGAAACATTTAAAATTTAGGTCCACGTTTCCCTATAGCGGACATATAACTATACTTGGTAGATAACAATCCTTGAAGTATAAATGTGTGTATAGAGGTTTCCGTTTTGGTATGGCCCCCACACAACGACCCGCCCACTTTATGGTTTTTTGAAAAGTTTGACAGCATTATCCAAACGGTCGTAGTAGTATTTGTAGTTTAAAGTGGAACACGTTTGAATTCAGATATATTTATATAAAAATGTTTTCTTTACCCATAGATGGAGGATTTTTCAAAGTTCGGCCCGGCCGAATTTAACGATTTTATACCCTTAGCCATATGGCTAGAGAGGGCCTATATCATTTGATACGGCCAAAATGTGCCTCATCGAAATAACGGTTTTAGACCCTAGGTCTCTTTGGACCAAATCCGTTTCGGGACATTTGGAGTCGATCTAGCGATGTTCGTCCGTCCGTCCGTCTGTCTGTCTGGCTGGCTGGTGTGCATGATAACTCTCAAAGGGAGTACCCGATTCGATTCAAACTTGCTACATCGTAATATTATCGTCAAACATAGATAGAGTTCGGAGATGGGCAACATCGGTCCACTCCTTCTGGTTCCTACCGCATAGAATGTCAAAATTTTCAAAGAATATAATTTATTGCACAGCAAGAGAAAGGATAATCTGATTTTGTTCTAACTTTGCGAATCCTAATATTTTCATCAGTGATAGTTCAGATGTGAAAATGGATGATATCGGTCCACTCTTTCTGGTACCTCCCACACAAAATGTCTAAATTTTCAAAGAAAATAATTTGGAAGGATAAGAGAAAGGATAATCCGATTTTTCCAACTTTGCGAATCGTAATATTTGCATCAGTGCTAAATCAGGGGAGAAAATGTACAATATCGGTCCACTCCATCAGATACCTCCCCCACAAAGGGTCAAAATTTTGAATAATTACAACTCTTATAAAATGTGACGTACAAGTCCGATTGACCTCAAATTTTACACATTCCCATAATTTTTTTAAATTTTTTTTTTAATCCAATGTTTGGTGCCAAGATGGAATACATCCTTCTGGTACCTCCCCCATAAAAGGTCGAAACTTTCAAGACAAAAAAAATATTTTCTGCACAGAAAAAGAAGCAGTAATCCGATTTTGTTCCAACTTTGCAAATCCTAATATCTACATCAGTTATAGGTCAGGTGAGGACAAAATGGACAATATCGGTCCACTCCATCAGGTGCCTCCCCCACAAAGGGTTCAAAATTCTGAATAATTACAACTCTTACAAAATGTGATGCAAGAATCAGATTGTCTTCAAATTTCACATATCCTATTACCCCAAGATTTGGTGTTAAGATGGATTATGGATGGATTCGTCCACTCCCTTTGGTGCCTCTCCCACAATAAGTCGAAATTTTGAATATCCATTAAGCCCATAAAACACGAAATTAACATCCGATTCCATTCAAGATTTTGTGCAGCTCAATATTTCCATTAACACAAGATCTGATATAAAGATGGTAGAGATCGGACCATTTCTTTTCCTGCCCAACATAGGATTCAAGATTTTGAAAAACAAAACGCTCGAAAAAAGCGAAATAAGCATTCAACAAAATTCAAATTTCACCCATACAAACATTTTTGTCAATACAATATCTGTTGTGCAGATGATAAATATCTGTGAACCTCTTCTGGTACCACACTTACAAAGGTTTACAATTTTCAATACTTTTATCGCTCATAACTTGCAAAACAAGTCAGCGATTCTTTAAAACTTACTATATGTAAAAGTATTTCTCTTTGCTAGAAACCTGAGATGAATATGGAATTTATGATTTTCGTTAATTTGGATATAAATGTTCGAATTTCTTTTTCTTTTCATTTCCTAAAAAAATAAAAAGTAGTTCCTTTCGAAAAGCTATTAATATAACACGAACTAGATCTAAAAACTGCTATTCCGCCCTTAGCTATTGATTGATACACCCAACACAGATGCATAAGTGTTGATGCACTCATGCCTTTCTCTTTTTGAAATAAAGTCTCAAATCGGCTTACATGCATTGACTTAAGGTTGAATAACTTTTCTTCTTCATCATCGTCTGTTCAGTACTTTAATATGACTTCACCTCATCATTGTCGAACGAATCAGCGAACAACGACTTAGTGACTTTGTATGAAACTTACCTGACTTTTGCCTTTTGATACGCAGCTTACAACATCATCTCGTGTGGGCTCTAAATTAATAAGATCACGCTGCAAAAGAATAGGAAAAAAAGAATGTTATAATATTACGTATCAGTTATGGGTTTAAAGACGTTATAGAAAATTTGAAAAAAAAAAGTTTAATAGGTTTATGGCAATAAAATTGAATGGAGGTTAGTAGTTCAGCTGGAGGCGGGTAAAATAAATTAAATTGATTTCTGTCGAACATAAAAGCTAATCTTAACGAAAGAAAACATAGAGAGTATTTTAAAGGAAATAAAATATCAAAAATAAAATAAAATAAAATAACAATTTTCTAATTCTAAAACATGTTTCAGTTTTAAAGATATTTAAAATAAGAATGTTCATTTTTTGCTTCTATTTTATTTTCTTCATATTTTATTTTATTAAATGCCACAGCCATACATTTAATTATTGAGCAGAGATTTACTTTCCTCCCCATGTTTTTAATTTAATAATCATCCTAACTACATTACCATATTTGTAAATCTGTAAAAAGAAATCGATAAATCCTGTCAAAGTTGTAATTGAATTTTGCCCTCAACTCTTCTTCTTTTACATTTTTCCTCTTCTTCTTATTCTTCTTCTTCTCCTCCATACTATATGTTTAAACAAATTATATATCTATTACTTGGAAAACTTTCCAATCATAAGTTTTAACACCTTTTTTGCCTCCACTACCAATGCACATGCTTCGTCGAGTAAATGCTCATGTTCAAAACGGAACGGAACAAAAGAATGCCAATGAAATGGCACTCATTTAAATCCAGTATAAAAGGACAGACATGTACAGTGGGGATGAAATTTTTCATTTATATGTGGATCATGGCCGACATATTTGATACCCTACACCGCTAGGCATATTTAGTGGAGCTCCTTTAACAAAAAGAATTATTTGAAGTAGATCATAACACCTATCAACCTTTGGCTTTAGAGCAGTTGTAATTTGGTTTCAGAGGGAGCTAGTATATGGGAGGCATATCCAATTCTGAATCGATGTTCACAAAATTTGATGGAGACATTTTTATCTTTTATACCAAATAACATTGCTATAGAGTGCATTGTATCACTTCGGGAAGGAATATAGTTAAAAAATATATATCGGAGCTGTTTCCAAATGGAAATGTACGTCCCGAATTTCACTCCATTTGGGCTGATATTACCCATAATCGAATTAAGGATATATATGGGAGCTTTTTCCAAATCTGAGCCGATTTCGATAACATTTGGCAAAGGTATTTCCGAGCTCTACAAAACATCTGGAACCAAATGTATTTGTTGTGGAGTGCATATTGCGAATGTGAGGGACTTAAACATCAAATCGGATGAAACATAAATAGACGAGCTATAGCTATATCCGAACAGATTAACACCGAATTTGATGTACATGCTTCTAGACAGAATTCGGTCGAATGTGTCAAAATTCAGGTCATTTGGGCTGATATTGGCCACGTAGTGCACAATTAACCTTACTTCGTAGTTGTATCTGATATCTAGTACCACAAATTATTGTGAATTGTGATCGGATGAAAGCTACGCCAGGGAGCTATAGCTATATCTAAACTGATTTTCTCCAAATTTGATATACTTGCTTTTAAATTCATTCGTATGTTCCAGAATGCAGGTCATTTAGACTGGTGTTGGTCATTTGCGACAAAATTAACCCGAACTCGGTTGAAGATATATATATATATATGAGCTATATATCTAAATGTGAACAGATTCTCTCCAATTTCAAAAGGGTTCCTTCTTGAACCAAGCAAATATTGTTTATAACTATCTAATAATAAATGCGACCTGAATTGCTTCAGAAATATACATAGACGGACAGACATGCACAAATCGACTCACAAAAGAGACTCCATGAAGCTGCTCAAAAGTAACTATGGGTCTATCTTGCTTCCTTCGGCATGTTACAAACAAATACGTTGACCTTTATAGAATTTTTTTAGAAATATAACCTATTATGAATAAAATAAATAACCACTTAAATTTGTAGGCTTCTATCCAGCCTTCAACTTTAGCCCCATTCTAAATTGTGAACTCTAGAGCAATCTAAACTTATTCTAAAATTTGATGCTTTTTCCAACATTTTTGGCCTTCATTCAATATAATTTATAAAAAATGTAAAAATTATGACGCTTGACTTTGCAGCAGTTTTTTTTAATCTCACCCTGTACATGGAAGCTATAGATATATCTGAACCAATTTTCACCAAAATTGGAAGCACTTGCTATTGCTCTGAATGCTGTCGGAAGTGAAAACGTCAGTTCATTTTGGATGATATAAGCCATTTGCACAAAAAACCAGTAAAGAAAGTCTTAAAGTCCGGCGGGACCGACTTTATGATACCCTACACCACTTTGCTAATTTAGTAGAGCTCCACAAAACAATTAAAAGTTTTTATGGGAGAATTCAATCATACACGCTATGATTATAATTATAATTTAAAGTTCAAAGGACTAAATATGGCGAAGCATTTGTATCTTTTAAATTCGGAATTGTATTGCCCATTTGGTGCACAATTAATTTGAAATCGGATAAAGATATATATGGGAGCTATATCCAAATCGGAACCGATCTCGATAAAATTTGGCAAAGATATTTCTGAGCTGTATTTGATATATTTCCCTGAATATCGTTGTTACGGTGTGTATATTACGGCTGTGGGTAACAATTATAACAAATCGGATGAACAGTATATATGGGAGCTATAGCTGTATCTGAACCGATCTTCACCAAATTTGACATACTAGCTTCTAGACTCACTTCGGTCGTATATGCCAACTTTCGACAAATATTAGACGTTTGGTGCACAATCAAAGGTAAATCGGACGAGGTTATATATGGGAGCTATATCCTGAACCGAATCTGAACCGATCTCGATAAAATTTAGCAAATGTATCTGAACCGATCTCGATAAAATTTAGCAAATGTATTTCTGAGCTGTATTTGATATATTTCCCCAAATATTGTTGTTACAGAGTGCATATTACGGCTGCGGAGGACAAAAATTACAAATCGGATGAACAATATATATGGGAGCTATAGCTATATCTGAACCGATTTCGATCAAATTTGGCATAATTATTTTGAGGTCCAATCTGATTGTACGTGCAAAATTCCATACTATTCGGACTGATATTACACGTTTGGTGCACAATAAAAGGCAAATCGGACGAAGATATATATGGGAGCTATATCAAAATTGTGACCGATTATCTCCAATTTCAATAGGGTTCGTCCTTGGGCCAAACAAATGATTTGTGCAAAATTTCATCTGGATAGGGCAATAAATGCGAACTGTACTTTGTTTACAAAAATACATGGACAGACGGACGGATGGACATGCATAAATCGACTCAGAATGTGATTCTATGCAGATCATCAAAAGGAACTATGGGTCTATCTCGTTTCCTTTTGCCTGTTACAAACAAATGCACAAAGACATAATACCCTGACCACCTTGTGGTGTAGGGTATTAAAAATCGGATAGATACATATGGGAGCTATATCCAAATCTGGAATCTTATTTCTGAGCTGTATCTGATATTTGGTCCCAAAGTTCATTCTTGTGGAGTGTACATTACGCATGTGAGGGACTTAAAACCCCAAATCGGATGAAACATATATATACGAGCTATAGCTATATCTGAACCGATTTACACTAAATTTGAAGTACTGGTTTCCTCAATGAGATAGAAAGATCCCTAAGTGCTATGTAATCCCTTGTCTTGGACTAATTTATTGAGGTGTTAAATAATTGTTGGCCCTATCAAACTTCTAATTTTTGGAATGCAAAACGGGTTGTATTGGTCCACGTTTTGACGTAGCCCCATAAATCTGCTCCGAGTGCATAAAGTAAAATTCTTGCAGAGAAATGTATACATAGGTCCAATTTTTGGTATAGACCCCATATAACTGTAACTGCAGATATTCTTTATTTCGTTGATTAGTGTCACACTTTTCGCCGGAATAAAATTTTGCCTATATAAGCCCACCTTGTCGTAAACCCCATCCCTCTCATATATATTTTTCATCCGATTTGTTATATTTTTTATTTGTTATATGAATCTCTGCTATATATGCAAGGGGCTGTAGGATATTATCAAGAAGCTCCGCCTGACTTTTCTGGTTTTTGTCTGTATTGTTGAAAAAGAAAAACATTCTTTTAAAGTCACAGACATTATCAAACGAATCGAGTAACCCATATAATTCCGTGGTAATATTTATATTAAACTTAAGCCAAATAGCCCATGGAAAGTGTAAGCCCACTGCTACTTTGCGCATCCCATTTAGATAATATTCGATTTAAAAAAAATGTGCCGGTCCACTACCTCTAATACGTTTTTCACCGAGGGATATCATCAAAGTTCGTCCACTGCAATTTTTGTACTAAATGGTTCTAAATCTTTCTAAATACCTACTGATACTTTCTAACTTATCTTAAAATGTTTTTAATGTATCTATTTTAAGTCCTTGTGTGATATTTCCCGTCCCCATCAAATCAGAATCGTAACACACAGTAAAACCCTTGTTAAAATCGCTTACCGTGAAATTCTCCCAGGGAAAATACATCTGCTTTTGAATATTCATCTGTTCCATTCATTCAAATAGTTTGTTTTCATAAATAAACTATTTTAAATAAGGATACACAAGTGAATAGTAGTTCCTTTAGCAGTCTATTCTTTGTGTGTGTGTGTATGTTAGTTGCTGTGTGTGTGTGTGCACTAAGACCCCTTTACTGTGACAGTTAATTACAGTTTTCATTGAAACCTCTTTACAACGGCTTTAGTAAAAGTAACAACACAAAGTGGCTATTAGCACCTTTAGAATTCCTTTTCTGGTTACGCTTTCAAATGTCTTCTTCGTCTCTCTCTCTCTCTCCTTTCCGCACCCACAATTTCTATGCAAAATAGTCTTTTGAATGAAGGTGTGTGTGTGAGAAATGGAAAAAGGGACATCATTTGCTTCAGTCCCTTTTTATTTACCATTCACCGTCAATGTTAACCTAACATTTTGTTTCTCTA